AACATTATGGAAGTGTTCAGCCCATCTTTCCAGGCTCATGTCCTTATCACTAATCAATGTAGTTCCATCAGCACTGAGATGCACCATAGGTCTTTGGCCCATAAATAGCCTCCAGGGCATCATAAAAGTGCTTTAGGTTATTACTATCAGTGTAAAACTGAATTTTACTGCCTTCTTACTGAACCAAGAATCATGTATCTCTCTACGCTTCATTTGCACACTTTGCTTTTGATGGGGATAAATGCTGCCTTCTTAGAGAGGGATGAACTATCCTGCTATGGAGTTCTCATTTTTCTTTTAGCAGCCTCTGAATTTCACCATCATTTTCATCAAGCCTATTTTGATGTTTGCAAATGTTCTGACCCAGATGAGCAAATGCAGTGCTGTATACCAAATTTCTGAAAGCTGCCCACACCTGTTCTGCTCCACTGTTGCCAACCATGTGTTGGCTCAGCTTTCCCTCCAAGTTAGCAGTGCCAGTTCATTAGTTAGTTCATGCTCAGAGAAGCTCTCTAATCTGTTGCCATTAAGTCTTCTGGTAATTGCCTTGCCTTGGGGCCACAGTTTTTGTTGAATGGAACGTTTAGCTTGTAGAAGGTAAGTCTATGATCAGTCCAGCACTCTATGCCACACATGCTTTCATCACTCTCACCTCCTGTCTGTCTTTTCTCTTTCTCCTCTATTAAACGCCAATGTTTGCTAGAACAGTGCATCCATGAAATTCTATTGCATTTGGGTAAATGAAGAACAGTGTTGGGGATAAGATGGTCATGAGACACACAAATCCTCAGTAATAAATGACCATTACTGTTTCTGTTTCTGACTCCATTCCCCCCAAGAATTCCTTGCCATGTCTGACAGTTTGTGCCTACCCTGGCATTAAAGTCATCCAGAATTATAAGCTTGTCTTCTTTCAATGCATTGATGATAAGGGTCTCCAGGCCTTCATAAAATTTTTCTTTGACCTCATTAGGGTTCCTCATGGTGGAAGCATGGCACTTTCCTACAAATGGCCATCGCATTGTCATGAGCCTGTCATTCGTTCCATTTTGGAGATATACAAGCTTATTGACTAGATTAGTTTTGATTGCAAAACTTATGCCAGCCTCATGGCACTCTCCATCACTGTGGCCACTCCAGAAAAATGTGCATCCAGCTCTGACTTCAGTAATCTGGCCTTCATTTGCCAGCCTTGTTTCACTCAGGGCTGCTATGTGGATGTGATACCTGCTGAGTTCTCTAACAACAAAAGCTGTTTGCCTTTCAGGTCTACTAGATTTTGTGTTGTCCATAAGTGTGCTCACATTCCATGTACTGATAGTGAGTGGAATCATCTTTGCAAAAGTTTTTGTACATTTTTTTGTATTTCAACCTCAGGGTGGGATACCTGTCTGCTGAGGTGGGTGAAGCACACAATTTTTAGGGCATCTTTTCTACCCCCTTCCTTACACCAGAAGGAGAGCCATGCAGTCCTTTAACAAGGCCACTCAGACACCCAGAGGCTGCTGAATCCCACCACTGCTTCCAGTGAGAAGACAACGCTATGACTCTGCCTGTGTGCAGAGTTGTGACTATAGCTCCCAGTGTATCCACACCTGCCACTTTGTCACTTGCCATAGGACATTGAGGTAGATAAAAATGGTAAAATAGTATGAGTGGTATCTTTTGACTTGAGCATAAATTGGATTTCAGTGAGGCAGAGTTGCTCCAAGTCATCAGCCTCACTCTCTCTTCCTGAGGCATCAAAGTCCGGTGGCAAGACAAAAGTTGAGACAAGCACAGTGGATGACCTTGGCGTCTTCAGAGCTCTAAGCGCTCCCCAGCACGTGCTTCAGCTGCCTTCACGACCACTGGAACAAATGGTTCTCATCTACCCATTCAACCAGGGGAAGTCTTTATGTGCTTAGGGCAGACACCTTCATAACTCACCAAAGGATTTAAGACCCCTCAGCTACCCTCAAACTGGTTTAACCCATCTGCCAAAATGGCTTACCAGGTGTGATCACTGAGAAAGCTACAGCTTCTTGGAACCCGGGTAGATCAGGTGGACACCAAAGACGGATGGGTGGCCCTGAAAAGAGCTCAGCTAGCCCTCACACCAGTCTTCCCTGAACACCCCATACACCCCTAGTCCCTCCATCTTTAAAAAAAACACCCTCACTAGGTGCTACCATCCCCACTCTTGTTCTGTGGCACTCCTCCCCTTCCCAGCTGAGCACTCTCTCCTCTCAGATACATTCTCCTCTCTGAATTTTCGTGACTCTGTTCTTTCCCATTTCTCTTCCTACCTATCTGACTGCTCCACTTGAGCGTCTCTGGCTGAATTTTCTTTGTCCACATCATGCCCCCTAACTGTGGGTGTCCCCCAAGGCTTTGTCTTGAGCCCTCTTCGCTTTTCTGTCTATATTCTCTTATATGATGACCTAACCATCTCCCATTGATACAGATGTCTCTTCATCCACCACCAGCAGCTTTGCTTGGTTTAAGCGCATCACCAAGAAACTCATCACTCTCCACCCCCTCTTCCCAGGATAAGTTCATCACCAGGAAAGCGTATCATAATGGAGATTGCTTCAGCTCATCAGTACCCTCGGTTGCTTCTGACCCTCTGATTGGAGGGCTGAAAGGTAAAGCAAAAAATCCCTGCCATAGCCTCCCTCTACAGAGGATTCAAAATCTTTTCATTTGTCACCATCTGCTTTGCTATCTTTTGGCTCTGCCATCATCATTGTCCCCCCCCCCCTTGCTAACCAGTCCCCTTACCCTTTTCAGTTTCTTTTTCATATTGTCTTCCCTTGGTAGGGCAGAGGCTGTCTCTTTTGAAAAGTTTGTATCCCCAGTGCTTACCATAGTGCCTGGCACATAGTAGACACTTAATAAATGTTTATTCTATCATGTGACTTCTAGATCTATGTAGGGCAACTGAGTGGCTCAGTGGCTAGAATCCCAGGCCTGGAGTCGGGAAAGACCTGTGTTAAATCTTCCTGAGTTCAAATCTGCCCTCAGACACTTCCTAGCTGTGTGACCCTGGGCAAGTTGCTTCATCTTGTTTACCTCAGTTTCCTCATCTGTAAAATGAGCTGGAGAAGGCAATGGAAAACCACTCCAGTATCTCTGCCAAGAAAACCCCAAAATGGGGTCATGAAGAGTTGGACACGACTGAAATCCTGAACAACAATGACAACAGTCTAGCCTTTGTCTCTCTCCTGAGTTCCAATCTTGCATCATTAACTGCCTGTTCGACATTGCAAGTTGAATGTCACTTACGCTTCTCAAACTCAACCTGTCCAAAAATAGAAATCATTCTTTCCCTCAAAACTCACCCCTCTTCCAAATCTCCCTCTCACTGTTGAGGGCACAGGTCAGACACAATCAGACACACTAAAACTTGACTCTAGCATAGTGATATCGGCTTTTTTGGTCCTTTTCCAGCACCAAGGACAACAACTAATTTGTATACCTACCACTTTTCTCATTTGAATAGAAGCCCCCTAAGAACAGTGACGATTTTCCGTTTCTCTTTATATCCTGAGTACTTAGCACAGTTCCTGGCACGTAGTGAGTACAATCGTAATTCTTGCTAACTGATTGCCATTTTGTAGCTCCTGTTAGAAAGTCAACCTGGCCTTGAGGGAAGGGATTTTTTCATTTGTGTCTTTGCATATCCAGTACCCAGCATCAATTGGTGATCAATTAGCAAATGCTATTGAGGCGGTCATTGATAAGACAATAAACCCCATATACACCAAAATAGTGGAAGCAGCAGTTTGTGGGATAGCAAAGAACTGGAAACCGAGTAGCTGCCTGTGGATTGAGGAATGGCTAAACAAATTGTGGGACGTGAGTGTAATGGAACGAGACTGTACTATAAGAAATGATGTGTCAAACAGGAAGGCTGTGCTATTCTGAGTAATATGATCATTCAAACCAATTACACAGGATTTATGAAGGAAAATGCTATCCATCTCCAGAGAAAGAACTGACATATGGAAGTATGTATTACACGGTTCCACATACATACATACATACATACATACATACATACATACATGCATACACACATATATATATATATATATATATATATATATATATATATATACACATACATGTATATAAAATGTTGGCCTTGTAGGTGGCACAGTGGATAGAGTGCCCTGCCTGGAGTCAGGAAAACCTGAGTTCTAATCCAGCTTCAGCCACTTACTAGCTATGTGACCCTGGGCAAGTCACTTCATCCTGTTTGCCTCAGTTTCCTCATCTGTAAAATGACCCAGAGAAGAAAATGGCAAACCACGCCAGGATCTTTGCCAAGAAAACCCCACACGGAGTCAGGAAATCAGACATAACTAATTAACCAAACAACAATAATGTGGGGTTAGGAGGCAGGGAGAAAACTCGGAACTCAAAATGTAACAAAAAATATATTTAAATTAAATTTAAAAAACAAATTGTGTGTCATGCATAATCAATATCATGTTGCTTGCCTTCTCAAGGGGTGGGGGAGAGGGAAGGGAGGGAGAGAATTTGGAACTCAAAATTTTAATATAATTGGGACATATTTAATGAAATAAAAATATATTTTAAAAAAGAAATGACATGTGTGATGAATACAGTGAAGCATGGAAAGACTTACATGAATTGATGTAGATCCAAGTAGAGTCAAGAAAACAATATACACATGGATTGTAAAAACGTAAATAGAAAGACCCCCTCAAATCACAAAACAAATCACAGTGAATGTTTGGAATTACAAAGAACAATTATGGCACCCAAGAAGAGCTAGGATAAGACACTCCCAGCCCCATCCCTTTGCAGAGGTGAGGGGCCACGTTAGGGTGGAACGTTGCATACAAATTTTTGGCTTTTAATGTATTAGTTGATTTGGTTTTTTTCCCTCTCCCTTTTTCTTTCTTTTCTCTTTTTCCTTAAAAAATATTCTTTGCTATATGGGATGGGGAGGAGGAGGAGTACTGAAAGAAACTTAGACAATGTAAAAATAAAAGATAACAATAAAAATTTATTTTAAAAAATAAATGCTTGTTAACAGATACTGTACTTGTGTGTTAGGTTGTAAGCTCCCTTTTTATATTTGTGTCCCCAGTGTCAAGCCCAGGATCATGCACACAGTAGGCACTCAAAAAATGTGTCTTGAATTGAACTGAATTGCCACCCCCCCCACACACAACTTTAATCCTCTGGCCCACTGAGGCAGGAACAGCATGCTTTCAGCGAGTCCTTGACTATGTCCCGAGCCCTTGTGGGCAAGAAGGATTTGGAGGGCATTGCCTTGGACTTGGGCCCCTCCTTGGACCTAGGCTGCCTGACTGGGCCAGGAGCCAGGTCTTCGGTGCTCTTGCCCAGCTGTTTGCCCAGCTCTGCCACAACTGCTCCACACTGGGGGACCTCCTGAGTAGGCCTGGGCAGGTCCCAGCAGAATAGGATATAGATTCTCATGTGGGGGGGATGGATCCTGAGTGGGGCCTTTGGAGAGGGGGTGGGAATGGCCCAGGCAGAGGCAGAGGCTTCCCACTGGTACAGTCGATGAGGAAGGTTGGGTGTGCCCAGCCTTTGGCATTCCGGCTCCAGGCCAGCTCCCCATCACCATCTAGAGGGGAAGAAACCAAACACAGGTGGTTACAATCCACTAAGTGAATAATTACATAATCACAGCATTGCAGGATTGAGAATGGGCTGGGTCATCTTGGTGATTTTGGGGCCAGGCACAAACTAGAACTGGGGTGACTGAGTTCAGCCCTCTCTTTTTATAGGTGAGAAAACAAAGATCATAATGGTAGTAGGTAACAGCATCAGGATTTGAACCTGAGTCCTCAGAGTAGAAATCTTGTGCTCTTTCCACTGTTCTTGCCAAATACCTACTATGTGTATTGGGGGGTGGGAATCTGGGGGAGGCTGTGCCAGATGCAGTGGGGCATATGGATATAATTAAGACACAATCCAGCACAGGAGACAAGATCAATGCATAAATAACTATCATGGTAGGTAGTATATGATGTCAAGGAGAGCTTCATGAAGGAGGTGAAATGTAAGCTGAGGCTTGAAAAATGGACAGGACCTGGAGAGATACAGCCTTTCAGACAAAAAGCAGGAGTACGTATGGGAAGGAAAGGTGGAAGAGAAGGGGAGGGAGTAGGTATTTATAAAGTGCCTACTATGTACCAGGTACCACACCAAGCAATTTTTACAAAAATTACCCCTTTTGATCCTCACAACAACCCTGGCAGGTAGGTGCTATGATTGCTTATCCACATTTTACAGTTTAGGAAACTGAGGTAAGATGTGAATGGGATGTCCCAGTGAAGACTTCTCAGTGTAATTAAGGTAATGAGTTCAGAAGGTAATGTGAGAAATGAACTCTCAGAAGTGAAGGCTCAAAGGGTCAAATAATTCTTGATTATTACTTTCAAAATCCTCCCCCACTTAGACCCTGTTTTTAAGCACTTAACAGAAGGAATAAGCCCTGCCCCACCCCCAACCTGAGCTTCCAGCCTCTTTCCTTGTCTTTGAATTTCGGGCCTAGAATGTAAGCCTCACCTCCCAGTTAAGGGGATAGGAAGAAACTTTCAAGCTTAGAATGTAAGCCCACCCCCAGGTAAGGGGGTAAGGGATAGTGTTGGTGGAGGCTTGTTTGCATGGTGGGCGGAGATTTGCCTCTCTCTCTCTCTCTTCTCTCTCTCTCTCTCTCTCTCTCTCTCTCTCTCTCTCTCTCTCTCTCTCTCTCTCTCCCCACGTGTATTGAAGCAGCAGACAGCCATCTCCCGAGATTGTAATAAAGATAACCTTTACTTTCCACCTTAAGAAGTCTCTGAGTTTAATTTGGGTTGGGGTCACTGTCCCACCCAGATGTTTCCTTTCTCTGAGCCTCAGTTTCCTCAGCTGAAAATAGTGATGATAATAATAGCACTAAACGTTGCAGGGTTCATAGATAATAAGAGTTAGAGGTGCCTTAAAAACCATCTATTCTAATAGGAAACAGAAGATTTTCTGTATCTCATCAATCATTTTCTATTTCCTTAATTGGTAGATACTTACATTAGAAAGATTATCTTATGGGCGTTTCCAATGGTTTCAGGAGAATTTTTTTTTCTCCCTCCCCCCATCGGAAATTCTCTAAGACTATAAGCAATAGAAAAGCTGTCAGCCTGCAGTGGTAGAAGGGGTTTCCTCTTCATTGAGGATTTCCTCATCCCAAAGAAATCTCAAGCATAGTCCTGATCTCTGTCACCCTACGCCCAAGGAAGATACTTTCCCTTCCAGGAAGAGGTGGGGAATTACGGGCCAGAAACGTCGCATATAATGTCACACTTGGGTGGTTTAGTTTAACTGACCTGTTTTAACTGTTTCCTCTCTTTTTAAAAATCTTTGTTATAAAGACTGGTTCTTTGTACAAGAGAGTGGGAGATGAATATATTGTGAAAAGGTGATTAGAAAATCCAAGATACCAATAGAAATTTAAAATAAAAGGAACAAAAAGTTAGCAACCACAGGGCCCAGTAGATAGAGTGCTGGGGCCTAGAGTCAGGAAAACCTGAGTTTGAATCCAGCCTCAGACACCTCCTAGTTGTGTGACCCTGAGCAAGTCACTTGCCCGCTGTCTGCCTCAGTTTTCCTCATCTGTAAAATGGGGATCATAATAGCACCTTCCCTCAGGATCAAATAAGATAATACTTGTAAAGTATTAGCACAGTGCCCTGAACAGTGCCCAGTATTGAATAAGTGCTGGTTTCCTTCCTTTATTGCAGAAGCCCAAGACTTAGAGCATTTGACATTTGAGGACACCAAAGCCCAGGAAAGTGAAGTGCCTGCCCAAGGTTACACAGATAAGTGGGTCCAGGAGCTGGAATTCCTTTCAGCTCTGGCATCCTGAGGCTTTATATTAGCTCTACCACCTGACAAGCTTAGAGTGAGGACAAACAGAGGTGACCAATGTTCCAGCCCTTATCTGGACTCAGTGCAAGTATAAACTCTTCTACAAATGTAAGGAGAGATTATTTACCAGGAGCCTTCCACCCCGTCCCTTTCAAATCTCTCCTTCCAACTTACATCTCCCGGGCAGCTTTCCAAGAGGATCCTCACACAGCGGGCTCTTTCCTGAGGACAGAAAGAAAGGAGAGATGGAACAGAGGGCAGGACAAAAAAAAACTCTATTCAGAAAACCCATGGCCCAACTTTCTTCTTCATCCAAACCGCTGGGAATCACGGGATCATGGAAGGTGAGAGCTGGAAGGGACCTTATTGGCCATCTAGCCCAACTCATACAACCCAAAGTATTCCCTACTATCACTTGCTCAGAGAAATGGTTGTTCAGCCTCTTCCAGTAAAAGGGGAGTCCCCCACCCTCATTCTGGAATCGCTCTAATTGTTAGGAAGCTCTAGTTCTGTCCCCTCATCAAGCTTAAATTTACCTCTTGACAATTTCCCCCCCTTTGCTTCTGGCTCCAACCTCCAGGGCCAAATAATATGGTAGCCCTCCAAATACTTGAAGACATCTTTCATGTCCCCCCTGTGTTTTCTCTTCTCTAGGCTAAAATATGCTTAATTCCTCCAAATGATCTTTATACGACATAGATACAAGGACTGTCTCCATCCTGGGTGCCTTGCTCTGGACATTCTCTCCAGCTGATCAATAGCCTTCTTGGTGCCCAGAACTAAAGATGGGGTCAGACAAAGGCAGCCTATAGTTAGACTATCACCTCCCTATAACCTGGTGGTTATATCCCTCTTAATGTAGCCCAAGATCACATTCAGTTTTTTGGCTAACAAGTCCCACTGTTGACTCCCACTGAGCTTGTAGTGCACTTAGACCCTCAGATCTTTTTCAGAACAACTGCTTTCTAAGCATGTCACCCCCAGCTTCTACTTGTGAAGTTGAATTTTTATACTCAAACACCAGACTTTACATTTATCCTCATTGAATTCCACCTTATTAAATTCAGTCCAATGCTCTTAGCCTATCAAGACTCTTTTGGGATTTTTATTCTATAATCTCTCCCAGCCTTGTGACATCTGCAAATTCAATGTACCTTTAACACATTCATCAATTGCTTTTATAAAAAGAGCAAGGCCAACCATTGATCCCTAGGGTACTCCACTGGAGACCTCCTGCCAGGTTGAAATTGAACCATTAACAACTACTTTTTGAGTCCAACTATCTATCCAGTTTTGAATGAATCCCATCTGATTAATTATTGCCTACTCCAAGTCTCTCCAATTTCTACATGAGAATAGTATGAGAAACTTTATCAGTCCCTGCCCTCAGGGAGCTCATAATCCAATGGGGAAGATTAACATGTAAACACATATATACAAACAAGCTCTATGTAGGACAAATAGGAAGCAAGCACGAGAGGGAAGGCACTGGAAGGGGATAAGGAAAAGATCCCTATACAAGGTGGGATTTTAGCTAAGACTTGAAGGAAGCCAGGGAGGTCAGTGTGCAGAGATGAGGAGAAAGAGAGTTCCAGGTATCAGGAAATACCCAGAGAAAATGCCTGAAGGGGAGAGATGCAGTGTCCTGTTCCTGGAGTGTCATCCATGTTGAAGAAGTAGAGAGCAATAGCTGTGTGACCCTGGGCAAGTCACTTAACCCCAATTGCTTAAAAAAAAAAGAAAAAAGAAGAAGAAGAAGAGGTGGAGACCAAGATGGGTTAAGTGACTTGCAGAAATCTATCCATTGGTTACCTCTTAGTACATAACTGGTCTACCTCCTTTTCTGCTTAGCTATTCCCCTGGTCATACTCTTTACCCCATTTCTCCAGTGTAATTCTTTGTTATTAATAAGTTACAGCCTAGTCACACCCATCATGTACCTCTCCATTGTCTTTTGGATAACCTATAACCTTTAATTCCACGGAGACTCATATTCCATGTAGCACTACCGGAAGACTATTGAAAGATGGGCTTTTGTTTCAGGGAGAAGTTCAGGGTCAATAACAGTACTGAGCTTTCAAAATATCTGAAGGAAGCCAGTGTCACAGAATGGAAGAGTATGTGGAGGGAAGAAAGTGTGAGAAGACAGAGAAAATGGGATAAGACCCAGGGAGGAGGCAGGGCTAAGTTATGAAAAGCTTCAAATATACTTTGATTCTGAAGGTGATATGGAGCCATTGGAGTTGACAGGGTGACATGGTTAGACCTGAGCTTTAGGAAAACCATTTTGGTGTCTGAATGGAGGATGATTGCAGTGGGGAGAGACTTGAGGCCGACAGACCCACCAGTGGGCTATTGTAATAATCTAGGCACAAAGTGATGAGGGTCTGCACCAGAAGGCTGCAGCGTCCTGGGAGAGAAGGGGGTGTAATGGAGAGGTGTTAGAAAGGTGATATCGACAGGCTTGGGCAACAGATTGGAAGGGGGGAAGAGAGGAGAGAAAGTGAAGAGTCCAGGATGACTCCTAGGTTGTGAGCCTGGGGAACTGGGAGGATGGTATTGCCCTCTATGGGAATTGGGAAGGTAGGAGGTGGAGAAGGTTTGGGGGAAAGATAGTAAGTTCAGTTTTAGACATATTGAGTTTAAGAGGTCTACTGGACATCTGACTGGAGATGTCTGAAAGGCAGTTGAGGATGTGAGATTGGAGTTCAGCTGACAGTTTGGGGCAGGACAGGTAGATCTGGAAATCACAAGCATAAAGATGGTAATTAAACACATGAGAGGTGACGAGATCACCAAAAAAGTATTAAAGAGGGAGAAGAGATGGGGGCCAAGCACAGAACCCTAAAAGACACATAGTTAGAGGGCATGATCTGGATGAGAATCTATCTGGATGAGAATCTATCAAAGGAGACAGAGAATGGGCTGTCAAATAGGCAGGAGGAGAACCAGGAGAAAGGAGTATCCTGAAGACCTAGCAGAAGTAGGGAACGTGCGGCCTTACCCCTGTCTAATCTCTCTGGGACGGATGTTTTTGAAATGTCTACAAATCAGATTGAACCAAGATTGATGAAGAGAGGAGGTCTAAAATGAAGATTTGCCAGGCACAGGCTGGGGATAGAGAAAGATGAAGACAGTTCTCAAGGAGGGCAAGTCGGTTCCTAGGCTTGACTCCAAAGAAAGTGAAATGGATTTGTGGGTGGGGAGGGGCTCAAAAATGACCCCAAAGTCATAAAAGCAACTCATATTTTTAAAGCACTAGACAGAACACAATCTCCTTTTCCAGTTAGGTATAGCACTAGATAGAATTAGGAAGGTCCAAGTTCAACTGCAGGTTCAGACACTTACTAGCTGTGTGACCCTGTTTCCCCATCTGTAAAATGAGCTGGAAAAGGAAATGGCAAACCATTCCAGTATCATTGCCAAGAAAACCCCACATGGAGTCATGAAGAGTCAGACATGACCAAATAACAACCCTTGATTTATTTGAGGAGGATCCATAGATTTCCTTGAGAGTATGGGATTGGTCCCTGAGAGGAATGAGTTAGTGACTTGGTTAAGGTACTTAACTATCTTGGTATGTTAACCTCAAATGTGTGATCTTAAATAGTGTGAACTTCCTCTTTCAAAATTCCCCAAATGGTCTTGGAAAGTCACCCAGAGAGCGGGAGAACTACACCAGGTTGGACATTCTCATTCATTCTCTCTCTCTCTCTCTCCCAGAAATGGTTTGGATATAAATTAACGTTAAATTAAATAAAACTTTCTGGTGGACTTATGCCTAAAATACAAAGTACAATGTGAATTTTTTTTCCCCACAAATAATCATCGGCACTTTGCAAAACACTTCATATGTTTTCTTACTTGAACCTGCTTCTATACCCATTTTATAGAGAAAGAAATAGAGGCTTAGAAAGCTCAAGGGATTTGTCAAATCCCTTGATTTGAGGCTAACAAGCCTCAGAGACAGAACTTGATGCTAGGTCCTTCTCATTCTGAGCCCAGGTCTCTTTCCTCTCTACCACAACACCTCCTTCCATCATTTAGGGTCTCCTCTCTTTCTGAGTATTTTGTTCTCATCCCAAGAAACTCTTCTCCTTCCACTTACCTGCACTGCCCTCCAAGTGGGGTTTTAAATACATGGCTTTGGGTTGTGCTGCAAGATCTGAATGCAAGCTGCTCTCCTGTCCCTACTCTGCTCCCCAGAGGAAAGCCTGGATCTTCTGTGAAGGTTGCTATCCCCACCCCCGGTATTTATAGTGTCTCTGGCAGGTAGAAAGCAGCCTCCCTTCCTCCCTCTCTGTCTCCCATCCTCCCTGCCCCCAGTGACCCAGCTTAGCCCAGGGATTAGACTTAAAGTCCCAGCTATGTCAGGCCAGAGCAGCAGGAACTGGTGAGAATCAGGGGATTTCTTTCATCGCTAAGTTTGCATTATAAACCCCACCAACTCCCTTTGTGGGCAGAGAAGAGGAAGGAAGACCTGAGGGCTCCAGGCTCCTGGGATCAGGTCCATTACAGATAAACATTTCCTGGCTTTCAGCTGGGGCTTCAGCCTTCTCTTGTATCTTTGGGAAGGCCTTTCAGCTCTCTCTTTTCGTTTTCTCTGGAGAGGAATGTTTGCCTGAGGCTGGGGGAGGTAAGAAGTGTAAGGAATGAGGCTGTGTGCTCATCAATAAAATGCTGAGGGCTGTTGTGGCAGAAACACAGGCATTGCTATTGCATCAGAAAGTAAGCATGCCCTGGGTTCTATGTAGAATGTCAGACTGTCAGTACAAGGAGGGACCTTAGAACAGAGAATGTCAGAGCAGGGAGGGCCCTTAGAACAGAGAATATCAGAGCTGGGAGGGGCCTAGTCCATTCCCCTTATTTTATAAATCAGGAAACAGGTCCCAAGAGGTGAAATAATGTGTCCCAAGTTGCAGAGCTAGCTAGTGGCATCCTGGACTAGAACCCAGCTTTGCCAAGTGATCTTTCCAGTCAAACAGGACTGCCCCTGCACCAGCAAGCATGGTAGAGACATCTGACTGGTAGAATAATCAGTGGAGAGTCACTGATTAAGCACTTCCTATGGCCCTGAAAAGTGAGCTGCACAGGTCATCTCCTGACCTTGAAGTCCTGTCCATAGCATATCATGGGAGGGAAGTCCACTGGGAAGCCTTGACTCTGCTCAACAGGGCAGTCCTCAGTCCTACAGGGGCCATCACATGAGGCAGACTTTTCTAAGCTAAGAAAAGGCCTGAGACAACATAGAGACACAGTTTGTTTGATCTCAGGGAGGTCCAAGAGTCCAGGGGAGCTCTGGACTGTGGCTGTGGGAGGGACAGAGGGGTAGGGGATGGCATCGGCCTCTGGGACCCTGGGTTGCTCATGTCCAGAGTATCACTTTTTATTTCCACATCAAACACCAAAGTCCCATGTTAAGGGGAGTGGACAAAGGTCTGTTTGCAGTCTCAACACCATGTCTTGGGCAAGGTTTGAGATCACCTCCGGAACTCCACCCCAGGGCCCTCATTCCCTGACTGATGTTGTTCTCTTTCTACCCCGACTTCTCTTTTTCCTCCCTCTTCCTTCCTTTTCTGTCTCTATCTCTCTGTCCCAGTCTCAGTCTGTCTCTGTCTCACTCCATGTCTCAGTCTTGGTCTCTCTGTCTCTGTCTGTCTCTTTCTTTCCTTCTCTCTCCTGTCTTTATGTCTGCCTTTTTCTCTCTCTATCTCCTTCTCCATCTCCTCCTCCTTACCCTAGTGCCTTCTGAGATGGGCAGAAAAGATTCTTATTACTAACTTTAATGAGCATGATGACAGCATTTCCATAGCACTTTAAGGTTTGCAAGGCGCTTAACAAATATTATCTCATTTAATTCTCACAATAACTCTGGGAGGTAGGTCCTTTTATTTTCCCTATTGTACAGATGAGGAAACTTAGGCATATAGAAGTTAAGTGACTTGCCTAGGGTCACGCAGCTGGTGAGAGTCTGGGGCCAGATTCAAACTCAGGTTTTCCTGGGTCTACTCCCTATACACAGTGCCATAAGAGTTGTTTTTACAAGAACTCCACCATCAAATCCTACACCCCAATTCTGCCTTGGCTACTTTCAAGTTGTTCAGCCCTACAAAGTCCCTTTGCCTATCTAAACTCACAAATCCTCATCAACAAAACAGAAATAATTAACGATATTTGCATTTCCTATGTCACAAGGTTGTGAGCAATGCAGCCTTTATTAAGCAGCTGTTCTGTGCCCAAGCACTGAGCCAGTTTCTGGGGATGCCCTCAAAGAACAGACATTCTTTTTGGGGGTAAATGCCATGTGCTTAGATAAGGAGATACAAAAGATGTGCTCATGGGAAAATCACTTGGTAAACATCACTGTGCTATAGAAGCATCCACTATGATCATAAAATTGAGGTGCCTTGACTGTATACAGCGCTCCTTCCACCATTCTAGTTAATGAAAATTGCTTTCCCAGTGCCCAGGCCTTCCCGCTCCCCCTGCGCATGGACACCCCACAGAAGGCCATGGGGTTTGTGACCCAGGGAGGGACTTTGGAGAGGAGACGCCAGAATCGCAGAATGTCTTGGTGGGAAGGGATCCGAGGAGCAGCTGGTCCAACATGTATGAGAAGAGAAACTCCATATACGGTACCCTTCTAGTGCCAAATAGTTTAATATTCTAGTATTCTAATATTCTGTGGTCTTACCACTAGGGGTAACTTTGAAAGAGCACCTGAGCTCAAGCATCTTACAAGGATCTTTCCTGGGGTAAGGGAAGAGAGGCAGACACTCCCTAGCTGTGTGGCCCTGGGCAAGTTACTTAACTGCAGCCTCTGTTTCCTCATCTGTAAAATGGGGATAATAGCACCTAACTCACAGGGTTGTTGTTATGAAGACCAATTTAAATAACATGTAAAACATGTTTAAAGGACTCTATAAATGCTGGTTATTATTATTATTAACAACATATACACAGATTAATAAATACAAGATAGACTGAGGAAGAAGATAGCATTAACAACTGGAAGGATCAGGAAAGGTCGAAGAGAGGACAGAAGTTCTTCACTTTTTTTGTGCCCTGGACCCCTTGGGCAATATCTGGTGAAACCTAGGGGCCCCTTCTCAGAATGATGTCTTTAAATGCATAAAATAAAATGCCTGGGATTACAAAGGAACACAGTCATACTGAAATAAGGATGTATTTTTCCCTTATCTAAATTCATCAATGAAATCTATTCACATTCTGTAGACCCTAAGTTAATAGCTCTTGGAAAAGGAGGTGACATTTGAGCTTAGCCTTGGGGAAGGGTGGGATTCTTAAGAGCCATAGATGGGGATCTAGGCATTAGTTGAAGGCAGGGAGGTGAGCAGAAGAGCATACTGGTGATGTCAATAGGAAAAGGAATTTGGAGGAGGGGCAGGTCTAGAGGGGGAAGATAGTAATCTGTTGAGTCTGAGCTGTTAGTGGATATCCTGGTAACGTCCAGGTAAAGACAGCCAGGGAAGCAGGACTAGCATTCAAGAGAGAGATTAGGGCTGAATATATAGACTTGGGACTCATGAGAATACAGATGATACCTGAACCCATGGGAGCTAATGAGTATACAGAGAGAGAGAGGGAAAGAGGGGGGCGGGAAGAGGGAGAGAGAGAATAAAGAGAGAAGTCAAATAGGATGAGTACTGAGAAAATGTCAATCGATTTAGACATTAAAAGATGGTAGGTAAATCTTAGAGATAGCAGTTTTTCTTCAGTGGTATGGTAGGAAGCCAGACTGCCAGGTGATAAGGAGTGACAGAAGGTAAGAAAGCAGAAGCAATCCTCATAGGCTACTTTTTCTAGGAGTTTTGCTGTGGAAGGGAGAAGAGAGAAAGGATGATTAGCTGAGGGCATGACAGAGTCCAGTGAAAGAATTTTTTTTAAGGATGTAGAAGACCTGAGTGTGTTGTAGGTAGATGCCAAGGAGCTGTTATGTAAGAAGAGACTGATGATACAAGAGAAAGCACTGATCAAAGATCCTGAAGGAGATGAGATCATCTGCACAAGTAGAGGGGTTGGCCTTGCCACGAAGGACCACCTCATCCTCAGAGACAAAGCAAAGTTGGAGAAAATGGGTTTTGAGGTGTGGAATAGAAGAAATGAAGTTGTTAATGATCAAGGGCCTCAATTTTTTGCAGTAAAACCTAGACAAGATCCTCTGTTAAGAGTGAGGGGGAGAGGAGGTAGGGATAGAGAAAGGTCAAATGACTTGCCTAGGGTCATACATCTGATTCGGTCTGAGGCTGAATTCAAACTCAGGTCTTCCCAAGTCTAAGATCTATCCAATATGCCACCTAATAGGATTATCTCATTCTTTGTATCCTCAGTGCAGAGCACAGTACACAGTAGATACTTAATAAATGCCCAATGACTGACGGGTTGGCTTTCAGAACCTGCACTCAGTCCTTAACAGAACTGCTATACATCAGTCACATCATTCCCTGATGGAATGGTGGCCTTGACAGTGTTGATATGTACTTTTGAATTTCTGGGCCAATGCAGAAGTCCACCTGGAGTCCTGACTGCTCTGTTTCAGCATCCCCTGGATAGCATCCACATTGATGGCATCAGTATTGAGCTTCTCTGGTCCCGGAAGATTCCATCCCTTCAGGTCCTTCAGCAGCTGTGGTGAGTAACAAATGCATTTCATTCTTCTGGCGGTCAGTTAGTCAATTAGCATGAAGTACTCGATACTACCAAGCATTGTAGTAAGTGCAAAGAGAACATAGAAAGAAGGGAAAAGTCTAGGCCTCTCTCTTAAAGAGCTCACAGTGTAATGGGGGAGACAGCATGCAAATCATTATGTACAAGAAGGTGGCCCCTTCCTGGATGAGGCTGCACATCCCTCCCCCCCACACCCAATATTTTATAGATGCTTATCACTGTACAGTACTAAAAGTGGTATAAGAAATCTCTAGCCTGGGATGACAGGTGAGAATTTTCTTCCTTCTGTATCTCATCATTATTTGGCACCTGGTTCAGGCTATAGAGGGATGTGGGCTGGAGACATATTTACTAAATTCCTGAGTCCAAAGCCCAGCTTAACTCTCTCACCAGAAAGAACTAGATCAATTAATAACTGGGCAGGTTTGTACACAAACAGAAGGGTGCTATGTGTCTGTACCCAGTAAAGTACTTGGGGGGGGTAGACGAACCACATCTCTGGTTGACATGCTGCCCTCTTACCAGTATACCTGGGTGCCCCCAACTTCTCAGACCTCCTTTTTCTAGTGCCAGATTACTCTTGCTCTCATCAGGGGGGATCTGCAAATGCCCACCCTCCTGACTTCTTTAAATTCCAAAAGTCTACTTTATGTGTGGGCTCTCTGAAAGCCTTCAGCTGTACCTGGCTCTTTCTTTTCACCCCTATTTGGCAAATAGTGCAGAGCCTGTTTATGGTGGCATTCCTCTAGCAAAAAACAAAACAAAACAAAAAACGACTTGACCTAGCTTTTCTGAAGTTCATTTGCTTCTAGTTGTGCTTGAATTTATTTTTGGTACAGGTTTTGATTCTTGAGACATTTCAACATTTTCTCATCCTCCCCCTCTTGACATTTACTACAAAGCAGCAGCAGGTGATTGGCACCTGCCTGGAGAATTTAGGTTTTTCAATAGCAATAAGTGTTTTTCAATAGGAATTGTATAGGTAGGTGAAGAGGTCTAGGGGTTTTGGGGTGCTGGGACCCCAAGATCGCAGTACCAGGCCCTGTCTGAAAGAATTCAACTCAAATCTTCTTCAGCCAGAGGAAAAGTTTATTAGTGGTAAAACATATAGGCCAGGTGACACCCGTGTGGGACAGCGACCCTAACCCAAATTAAACTCAGAGACCTCATGGTGGAAAGTAAAGGTTACCTATATTACAATCTCTCGAGATGGCTGTCTGCTCCTTCAATACACGTGGAGAGAGAGATACTGGAGAGAGAGATACGGAGTAACAGGGGCTGCCTTATGAAAGCAAGTCTCCACCCACCACACAAACAAGCTTCCACCCACCACTATCCCTTACCCCCTTAGCTGGGGGTGGGCTTACATTCTAAGCTTGAAAGTTTCTTCCTATCCTCTTAACTGGGAGGTGAGGCTTACATTCTAGGCCCGAAATTCAAAGACAAGGAAAGAGGCTGGAAGCTCAGGTTGGGGGTGGGGCAGGGCTTATTCCTTCTGTTAAGTGCTTAAAAACAGGGTCTAAGTGGGGGAGGATTTTGAAAGTAATAATCAAGAATTATTTGACCCTTTGAGGAGCCTTCACTTCTGAGAGTTCATTTCTCACACTACCTTCTGAACTCATTACCTTAATTACACTGAGAAGTCTTCACTGGGACATCCCATTCACCCGTAAGGATGAGCAGGCATGAGAGGTTCTCAGCCTTATGGATCTGAGATTCTCAGCCCCAAATGAGGGCCAGGGTAGATCTTATATACTTTGGGTGACCAGGGAAGGGTCTGGGAAAATGGTCTGGGAAAAGGGTCTGGGAAAAAGGTCTGGGTGAGAATTCCCAGAGACTGGAATGTCTAAGAGATTGAATAGACAACGGGAATAGATAATGAAGGAACTGAAAGGTATCTGAATGAAATTAAAAGGTAGGCTAAGGCTTTCAAAGGGAGATGGGGGGCTGGGGCCTGTAGACAAAAGGGGAGCCAGATTCCCTTTAGGGCAAGGGGCAAAGACCTCGGCTTGGGCCACACCCCATCATAGGGATTCTGACTTGACCCAGAAGCAAAAGATCAAAAGGAGTAAAATAAAATTTTTTTAATCAGTAAAAATCAGTAAGTACTGATGAAGCATCTACTATGTGTTGGGCACTGGGAATAAAAGAATAAAACAGCCCTTATTCTCAAGAAACTTACATTCAAATGGGGGTGACAATATATTTGAGTACACATAGAATAAATAGAAATAAAGTGAACACAAAAATGCTGACTTAATGTTTTAGAAAATGCTAACCCAGAAATGATTTGAACACACCAGAATGAAGCAGGTCTATTAATTTCCCTTCAAACGGGTGTTAAAGCAACTTAGACCAGCATCATCTTCTCTACTCCACCCCTGACTCAATCTGAGTTCACAGTTCACTAAAACCTCTAAGATCTTTTTTTGTTATTGGGTAGCCACAGGTCTCCCTCCCACCCTTATATAGTGGACTTTTTAGAAGCTATACGACCCAACTTTCCTGTCTCGAAATTTATAGCCCTTCACAATTTGGCTCCAGTCTATATCATTCCTGACTTATCTGATCTGTTATTTGTCGAATTTCTTGTACTGCCTTTCCAGCCAAACTGGCCTGCTTTTGATGTTTCTCACATAGGCTGCCCATTTCTGTTTCTTTTGTTTTGTTTTGAGGCAGTTGGGGTTAAGTGACTTGCCCAGGGTCATACAGCTGGTAAATGTCAAGTGTTTGGTCTGAGGCCACATTTGAACACAGGTCCTCCTGACTTCAGGACTGGTGCTTTATACATTGCACCACCTAGGTCTTTGCACTGATGTCCTCCATCCCTGGAAAGCTGTCCCTCTTCATTTCTAGCTCTTGGGATCCCTAGATCTACTCAAAACTTAGCTCAGGTGCCACTTTCTTACATTAGGCACTTCCTGACTCTAATTTTTTTTTTATCACTTAGCCCATTGGGTGGCATATACTATGCACTTGATAAGTATTTATTGACTGACTTAATGACGTTACTTTTCATTATCTCCACAGTTCTATCAGTAGACTCTAAGCGTCTTGAGGGCAGGGACTGATTTTTGTCAGTTTCCTCAGTGCCTAGTACGATGTCTGGCACAGTCAGCACTTTTTAAATTTGTAATTTTAATACTTTTTGAATTTAATTAAATTGGCAGTTGTCTCTGGTTATACGCTGGAAGATTAAAAGGCAGAGGAGAAGAGGTCGACATACTAGAGACACGCCTCCAAAACTCATCCGCACCCCTCCAGCCTGGCATCGGTCCAGGTGTCATGGCAGCGCCCAGAGGCGGCCTCCACGTGACTCCCTGGCCCTCTTTCCCCTAAATTCCCCAGGGTTCCTGAAGGTCGAGGTTGGGACACGGCGCATGCGCCCTATCTGCTTGCCTGCCGGCCGGAACGACCGCGGCACATGCGCCGGAAGCGGCGGCCGTGGGAAACACTGCGAGGTCGGTTCCGCCCGGCTCCAACATGGCGGCGCCCTTTGTCTGCTCTGAGGTGCCGTCCCCGGCCTTCGTCCGGCAGTGATGTGCCTCCCTCTGCGGCGGGGTTCGGGACATGGCAGGTGAGGGGCATGGAGCCTAGAGAGGGAGCCCAGCGGCGCTTGTTGATAGGGGCCTGAGAAGTCGGCAGGGGAGGGGCAGGAAGGGGGGGCCGTTGTGTGTAGGGGAAGGGGGGATTTCCCCCCCCCCCCGAAGCGGGAGGGGGAGGGGCAGTTTCCCGAGGGGAGGGGGCGGGGGAGGTTTGGAGCGGAGTGGAGCGTTCCGAGGGGCGGGGAGGAAGGGAGGCAGCGCGCGTGCGCACGTGGCGCTCCTGGCTGGGGGCTGCGCGGGATTCGGGGGGAGAAGGCCTCGGTCTGCGCTGTCTGGGGCTGCAGAGCCGCCATGTGTATGGGCCGCCTGCTGGGGAAGGGGCGAGCCTTCCGGGAGCGCCCTCCTCGGCCGGCCGCCTTCCCCCACGGCCCCTCCACATGAGCTGAGCCGAGTTGTCCGACCTCTCCTTGCCCTCGGCGCTGGAGGAGAGGGCAGCCCCAGTGATGACCCCCGCCCTGGGCAGGGGGTCAGGTTCGGCTCCCTGCGTTCGGCCCTTCTGGCGGACTGAGCGCCCCCTGGGTGGCGGCGGGAGCAGGGTGCAGTCCTGACCCGGAACCTACGGGCCATGTGACCTTGGGCAAGGAACCGAATTTCTCGGGGCCCCCTCCGCCGGGCACGGGGGAAACTTACCAGAGTGTGAGTTACCGCGGGTCTGCGGCGGCGGGCCTGACATACCTTAGGCGACTAATAAATGCTAGCTCTTACCGCTGCCTCCTATCCTAGAACTTGAGCTCCGTGGGGGCAGGCGCGGTGTTTTTGCCTTTATATCCCCAGCGCTGGCACTTAGGTGCTTAATAAATGCTCGTTATTTTCTTGCTGTCTCTTAGAACTGAATCTCCATGAGGCCTGGGGCTCTGTTTTTGCCTTTCTCTGTATCCCCAGTGCTTAATAAATGCTAATAGACTACTGACTACCGAGATTGAAATCTGAGTCGGGAGCAAAAAAAAAAAGACCCTGTTTGTGATGGTCTTAGGGCTAGTGCTCTGGATATAGATGAAGACAAAAACTGAGAGACCTTACCCCAAGGATCTTTTTTATTCACTCCATCAAGCATTTTATATAGAAAATTTCAATAGGGCCTAGTCCTAGGAACACCAAAGTAGGTTGCCTTAATACACCTTAGTATGTGGAGAGGTGCAAACAGTGCTGAGAGAGATCGAAGAGCTGGCATCTGAGTTGGACATTTAAAGGATTGGTGAGAATTTAATAGTGAAAAGGAGAGAAGAAATTCCAGACTGAGCAAAGGGTGCCGAGAGCCACAGAGCTGCTTGTGGGCAGAGCATTCTATTTTGACCAGTACAAAGTGTGCATAGGGTAAAATAATAGGACATATGTCATACTTTTACATGGTTTCCCTCCTCAACCTTTCTTAGAGCACCTTGCTTAGATTTCTCTTTTGCCCCCCGTCACATTTTATCTTGAATTATACATATCAGTCAGCAAGCATTTATTAAGTGCTTACTGTGTTCCAGGTATCATGTCAATACCCAGGAAGTCCATGTGAGGCGGTTGTGAGCATCTGCCATGCTCTTAGTTGAGAGAAGAGAAGATTGTCGTTATATATGGTTAAGAAATTGGGGAGAGGACCCACAAAGATGAGTTCCTCTAGTCTCCCTTACATTTTCTCCAATTTGCATTAGTTAGAAATATCCCAGTGGTGGTGGTGGTTGGGATATGGTGAGAACAGGACTGCTGAGAGAGGAGACCCAAGAAAGGCGTACAAAAGGAAACACATTGTAAATGATCGTGTAAAAGGTGAGCAAAATGACTTGATTTTAAAGAATGCTGAAGGCAGCTGGGTGATTCAGTGGATAGAGTGCTGGGCTTAGAGTCAGAAATATCTGAGTTGAAATATGGCCTCAGACATTACTAGTGTGTGATCCCAAGCAAGTCACTTTACCTGTTTGCCTCAGTTTATTCAACTGTAAAATGGGAATAATAATGGTAGCTACTTCCCAGGTTTATTGTAAAATCAAATAAGGTAGTAATTGTAAAGCATTTAGCACAGTGCTTGGCAGTAGTAAATGCTATATAAATGTTAGCTATTATTAACTGTTACTATACTCCGGTTTTCTAAGCTTTTTGAAAATAGGAAGGAAAGACTTTCAAATTGTCCAACTAATGCGCCCTTCATTAGAAAACTGAACTTGTCTTCTTGGCTAGGATTAGCTGAGCCCCTTGCTCTTACAACAGAGAACATACCAGAGCCTCTTTCTGATGAACATTCTTGCTCTTCTGGGTCAGGGTGGAGCTCTGTGAGTTCTGAACCATTTGCAGGAAATCAGCCAAATGTATCATTCAAACCCTGCTGCGATCACCGGGCTCTCACCCAGTCTCTACTGCTCTTTCTGTATTGGAATTCCACAAGAGGTGGCCCTCGTCTGTAGAGCACAAACATGCTTCCCATGTGGCTTTGTGTGGCAGGGTGACATTTTGCTGTGTCATGTGCATCTCACAATAGGGCGGGGACCCCAACCTTAGAGAAGAACAAAAAACAAAGAATTCTCCAGGGACTGTTCGGTGTATGACACGATCACAGAGGAAGATCATCGGCTGCTTCCTTTCATGGCTAGACAACTGTTTTAAAAGTGGCTGTGATAGGTTGGGAGTCAGAGATGATGGTGTGGTTGTTCTTTCCATTTGTTATAGTTACTGTGTATATTGTTTTTCTTGGCTCTGAATATTTTATTCTGCGTCACTTCATGTAAGACCTTGCTTCTCTGTGTCTTCATCACATTAATCATTTCTTCTTGTCGTTGTTAAGTCATTTCAGTTATGTCTGACTCTTCATGACCCTATTTGGGGTTTTCTTGACAAAGATACTGGAGTAATTTGCCATTTCCTTCTCCAGCTTATTTTACAGAGGAGGAAACTGAGGCAAACAGGGTTAAGTGACTTGCCCAGGGTCACATGTCTAGGAAGTGTCTGAGGCCAGTTTGAACTCAGAAGGAGGAGTCATCCTGACTCCAGATCCAGTGTGCTATCCATGGCACAACCTAGCTGCCCCCAAGGAAGTATTTGTAATAGTCCGTCATGCACCGCAATATTCCATTACATTCATTTACCACAGTTTGTTTACCCATTCACCAATTAATGAGCATCTATTTTATTTCCAACTCTTGGCTGTCACAGAAAGTGCAGTTATAAATATTTTGGGGTGTTTGGGAGCTTTCTTCTCATTAGTAGCTTCCTTGTGGATATAAACTCAATAAGGGAATCTCTGGGTCAGAGAATATGGATCAAATAAGATAACATGTGTGAGGTGGACCGTACTGCCATACTGGGAATCATGGGTATAGGATTCTAGTTCTAGTGATGTCCTTAGGTAATTCTGTGGTCTTGGCCTCTGGGCCTCAGTTTTCTCATCTGTCAAATGATATCTAAGAGATATCTCCCTCTCCTTAGGATTTTAGGCCCTTTTCCTCCTGTTTCTTTTCCTTCTCTAAGGAATCTAAGAAATACTTTCAAAACAGATGAGTGGCATGTCTAGAATCCAGGAGTTTCTTCCTCTGTTGTGGCAAGGAAGGGGTTTGTGGGGATTGAGTATGGTAGATGTCTTCTATGATGTCAACCCTCAAAAGCATTCTTAACTCAAGAGCCTAGTTTTTGGAACTTTTCTCAGCTGATCTCTTCTTTCCCCTTGAAGATAAGGATTCCTGACTGTCTGTCTTCCTGTTTTAATCCCAGAACATAAAGGCAGTTTAGTCCTTAGCAGAGGAAGTACCCTCAAGTCCAGGTGGAAGCTTATCAGCAAGGCTGCACACTTCCTCTGGGCCCCTCTGTCCAATCGTAATTTGCTGTCTTTTACCAGACCTGAAAATAACTTTACAGAGCTCAAGGGTATCTTTATTAGATTTGAAAATATCCGACAAGAATATTTTGATTGCATCTTCAGATCTCACATCCTTCACCCCACCCCCTTTCTCCTCAAGCCCATGAACTACCTTCTATTTTTCTGATCAGGAGATTTCACCCCATGGATGGTGTTGGGGTTGGGCAGCTGATCAGGGGAAAATATGGGGGCACTCTGCTGGTGTTGGACACAGGGCCCAGGTGCATTGACCAGACCAGGTCCCAGGCTGTGGCTGCAGGAGAGAAGGAGGTTAACTTGTAGTGAGTGAAAGGCACCCTTTGAGTGGATACATAGGCTTTTTTTCCCTCCATAGTGGTGATGGATGTAGCTACAGCCAGGGTAAGTTGTTGGGGCTGGATAAGAAGTCTTAGCCACTGGAAGTATTAAGTAGAAAAGTTAATTTCTATGTCATTTAAGACATAAAAAAAAACCCTAGGTTTTACCACATGGGAAAGGATTCTCCCCCCAAATCGATAAATGAAATATGCTTCACTGTGCCTGAGAGGTTATATTAATTTTGTTCAAATCAATGAGTCATCTCAGAAAATAAAGAGGCTCTTCATCAAACTTTTTTGTTGTGAGAGTCCTTTTGCCCAGAAACTTCTCTGTTCAGGGGCAGACAGCTTATGTGGCCAGTAAAGTCAGTGGATCAGTTTGTCAACACACTAAACAATGCGTTTTGTCGGACCTGTTTGCCCTTATGAATCAAAGGATTGGGAAATAAGGCATCTTTTGTATCAGATGCATGGCATAATGCAACTTGGAAGACCTGGGTTCAGATCTTGCTGTAGTTGCTTTATCTGTAAAATGGGCACCATAATACTTATGCTACTTACCTCAAGGTGTTTGTAAAGAATTTGCTTTGAAATTAAAAAGACGTATATCAATGTGAGCTCTCAGTGTAATGTCTGCAGGGAAAAGGAGTTTTGTCCCACTAGATGTTTTTGCCAATTTGGACATTGACTTGTTTGTTAATGTGCTGTTAGTGATAAGATATTGAAGCTCAAAGAGGTTGGTTATCTTGTCTTAAGGCTGTGTAGTCATTAAGTCATGATGCAAACCCAGGTCTTAGGAATCCAGAGCCCGGGATTTTTTTCAGATATCATCAGGTTGCCCTTAGATGTAGTCAATCTGTATCCAGAGAATCTGAAAGACAGTTTCAAAAACAGGTGTGGAAATGGGACCAGTGCTATCAGTGGGGGAACTGAATCTGATGGAAAGTTACAGCAAATGAAGGAGGTCAGCAAAATGGCTGTTTAGTATGCCTGTAGAAAAAGTGGGATGTCTGGAAAATGAGTGGATATTTTGCTTCTTGTTTCCTGATTGACGTTCAGCATTCATCTGGGAGAATTGGGGAGTTGGAGAGGAAGGGCTTATGGAATGGGAATGTAGTCCTGTGACCATGCCCCCAAGTATGTGAGACTGGACAGAACCGTTAGGTTTCTGGCTGATTTCCCATCCACAGACATTATTACTTGTAGCTAGAAATATGAATTCTTCCATGAAGTCAGCCTTGAAACTGTTTTCCCCATTTGGCTTTGTAGAGATTCAGTCTATAGTCTTCTGTCAGGATATAGCAGAGGGAGTGCAGGACCTGGCCTTGGAATCCCAGCTCTGATGCTTCCAGTTGCATGATGTTATGCAAGTCCTTTAATCTCCCTGAGCCTTGATTTCCTCATCTGTAAGAGGAGAATGATGATGCCCTAAGCCTTCCTCACCTCCGAACTTACCTAGCTGGACTCCTCACCCTCTCTCTCCCTGGGGCAGAATGAGCCCATTGTTGGATAGTTGACTCGAAGAAGGGGTGGTGAGATTGGCTGTTGTTTTGTGAGGACAGGTGGCATTTTCTGAAATGACTTATATAAAAACAAATGAACTCATTTTTAAGGGGGAGGGGGACACACATCCCCACCATCTACAGTATGAATGAGTTACCTGATTAGATCATTTACAGTGGCATTGTTTTTTTCAGCATACTGCTTTTGAAATCACTTTTCTAAGTCAAACTGGAAAAGCCATTTGAATCACTCCCCAAAAGTGCAGCAAAGCCAATGTTATGAGAAGTATGCAGAGAACATACCAGAACTGTCTTTTGGTTAAGACAGAGGGTCCGCTTACTTCGGAATAATTATACCTACTCATTCCTATTTCTAGGTATTTTAAGGCTTAGAAAGCACGTTTCACTCCTTTAAGGAAGGTAAGGCAAGTATTAGTCAATGATCAAGTCAATAAATATTTATTAAACACCAGCTATGTGCCAGGCCTTGTGCTAAGCACTGGGGATACAAAAAGAGACAAAACAAATTCCCATATTAGCCATGTCTCCCCAAAAACCAACCAAACAAACATTACTCTGAGCCTTTCTGTCAAGAGGTGGGCAGCATGTTTCATCATGAGTTATCTGGAATTGTGATTGGTCATTGCATTGATTGATATTCCCAAGTGTTCAGAGATGCTCCAGCTCTGTTTTTGACATGTTTAGTTTGAGATGGCTGTGGAACATCCTGTTCTAAACTTCCAGTGAGTAGTTATGATGAGGCTAGAACTTGGAAGAGAAGCCTAGGGCTAGATGTATGGGTCTGTATAGTGTTGATAATTAAACCAGTAGGATCTGATGAAGTCCCCAAGTAAGATGGTTTAACGAGAAAGGGGTTCGGCCCTGCATAGTAGGGCCTTGACAAGGATGAAAATCTAGCAAAGGAGACTGAGAAGGGAACAGGTAAGAGGAGAATGGAGAGAAAAGATGTAGTATGACAAAAACCCAAAGAGGAAAGCGGTCAGCGGTGGTGAGTGATTCAGAAAGGTCCAGAAGGATGAGGACTGAGAAGAGACCACCAGGTGTAGCAATTAAAGAGATGATTGACAACTTTGGCGAGAGCGGTCTCCACTGAATAATGATGCCAGATTTCAAAAGGTTTAGAAGAAAAAAATGAGAAAAACAGGAAGTGGACGCAAGGAGTTTGTTTGGAATTTTCTTATAATTGTTTGGATTCTTCCTACTCATTTCATACGGTGCAGAACTATTCTGTTGCAAACATGTATTCATTTGTTTTGTGCATTCCTCAATCGTGGACATTTGAGATGCTCCATTAGATTGTGAGCTCCTTGAGGGAAGGGACTGTCTTTGCCTTTCTTTGTCTCCCCAGGGCTTAGCCCAGTGCCAGCATGTCATAGGTGCTTCATAAATGCTTGTTAACTGACTACTTTTAAGAAAATAATTGGAAAGTTCAGTTTTTGCTATAACTTTTCATCTGGGCTTGGCCTTCGGTTTTCAGATTTCTTCTCTTGCTTGTTAAATCTTACCTTATCTAGGTTAGCAAATCTTTTCATTCAATTCTTAGCTTGTTGGAGGAGGAGATGGCATCACTGGATGGCACCCTTACCTTATGCCTCGTCCATACGTGAATCAGAATCCCTGAGACAGCATTATGGGGAAAAGTGTCACTAAACACTATAGGCTGA